ATAGGACATCACTCAATGGTAACCAATGGCAACACAAATGAGTCGTAATTGACGTCTGTTTTGGTGAATGTCTTCAAAGCTGTCATTCATTTGTTTGTCTTAAGAGTGAATCAAATGATGAAATGATTTAAGATTTAATCGTCAATTCAATGGTATGTTTGGCAATGCCTTCACCACTGAATACACCAACAAATGAGAGACAATTAGTTGGCAGTGAGTTGTGGTCTCTGAAGACACCCGAAGCAGAGATGAGTGGACTTGAGTTGAGCGCACATTCAGTCGATGCCATCGATTCCAGCGATACTTCTTCGCATCACATGAGCTCTAAGTCCATCCCATTGATGGCTACAATCAGTGATCACAACAATCAAAGTGTGGCAACAAATGGTTGGCAATGAGTGACTAATTGCTCGCATGTGGACACCACTTGAATCCAGTGATTATCAGAAAATGACGGATACGAGTGGTGTCTTCGAGACCTCTCTCTGTGGCAATGAATCTAATTGAATGTCTGTTTGTTAGACATATCATCGGAAAGGACACGAATGTCTCGATTGGGTCTAAATCTGGACTTAAGTGACAATCGGAGTGAAGGCCAGAGCCGTAAGAAACTATCGATTGGTTTGGTCGGCAACGGAGGACTGTGTGGAGGACTGTGTGGAACGCCTCAAGAGATCGACGTTTCCGTTGCTCTTGAAAAACAGGGGTATTATTAGATATGCCATACATTTTAGACACCATTACCGAATTATGACATGATTTCAAAGTGGATTATATTTGTGTCAAATGACTGTTCAGTTGGTTTCACGGATACATCAGTAGAACAGACGCCGAGAACGTGTTGCGGACCACCCGAGTGGGCAGTTATCTCGTGAGACACTGTCTCAGCTCTAAACACCACTACTTAGTGTCACTCAAGTAAGTGATCCACTCATTGGTCACTCAGTCGATGGCTCACTAATTGATTGATTCATTGAATCGCTGGAAAGGTGTGTCCGAGGGTTTATGCACATCAAGATTGTGGAACAGAGTGACGGCGCCTATACTTTCGGCACTTCCAGCATGTCTTTCAACAGTATCCCACATATTGTCAACCATTACTGCATTAATCGGTTGCCAATTGTGGGCGCAGAGCACATGTCGTTATTATATCCAGTTATCGATCAATTGCTCTAAAACTCAAACCCAACACATATATAGAAACCGAATATTTTGAGATATAATTATATAATTCTTATACAAAATGACATTTCAATATAGA